TACGGGGGCAACACTGAGGGTTGCGATCCGTGGCCAGACACGGAAAAAGACAAAAAAAAAAAAAAAAATTATATGTATAAAGTAAAAGGAAAAGATACCTTTCACCGCCAATTCTATTCCTAAGTAATTACCACTGTTTGGTGTTTACCCTACCAGCATTTTTTAAAATTAAGTATATATATATAAACTTTTGTCCTACAGAAATAAAATCATATTGTAAATGTTCTTCTACAAATTCATTTTTTCACCTAACAATAGTGGACATGTTTCCATGTCAGTACGTTTAGATCTACCCTGGTCTTTTAATGGACACCTAAAATTCAGTATTAGCAATCAATTAAAACTTTTTATAACTTTTTAAACAATGCAGCAATGAACATCTTTACAATACTATATTTCATCAATTCCAGGATATACTTACTTGTACATTTTAATATCTCTGGAATTGGGATGCATCTTTTAACCAACGGTGTCTTAGGTTTGTGAAATAAGATATAATCTTGCACACCTGTGTGTTTCTGCAGACTATATTCTTAGAAGTAAAATTAATGGGAAACAGGTATAAGCAATTTTGTTTGATAGATAATACTAAATTATCCTTCAAAAAGGTTTTACATACTCATCAACACTATGAGAGTATTACTGCATACTCTGGATATTATGAAGTATTAAATATTTTATAATCTAAAGACCAAAATACAGTATCTCATTAATTAACCTTTTCCTAATTATGAGTGAGACTAAGCATCATATTCCTTCTCAGAATCTCCTTATATCCTTTGTCCATTTTTTCCCTATTCTGTTCTTATTGAATTACATCAATGCTTTTTATGTTATATAGAGTATGCTTTGTGTATGTTTGTGTATGGGTGTATGTATAAAAATATATTTCTCCCAGTCTGTTTTTCGGGTTTTACTTTTAACTTTGGTGGCGCACTGCTACAGTGCGCCGCTCGGGAGCGCGGCGGCGCTCCCGCCGAGGGTTCGGATCCCACATACAGACCGGTTCCCGTTCACTGGCTAAGCGAGGGGTGGGCGCAGCACCGAGGGTTGCGATCCCGTTGCCGGTCCCGGTCCGGTATGGGCACGACACTGAGGGTTGCGGTCTGTTGCCGGACACGAAAAAAGACAAAAAGGAAAAAAAAAAACTTTGTTTTACCTTTGTAAACAAAGGTGTGCAAGGGTTTACACACTTTAGAAACTGCCCGTGTTGCCATCAGCATGCTGCTTATTCCAATGGACCTGATCTAGCAGCAGCATTCAACTCAGCTCTTCTTTTCCTTTTAAAACATTTTCTTCTCTGGTTTTTATGACTTTCTCTCTGTCAGTTTCCCATTAATCTTCTCAAGCTCTTTTGCTGCTTTATCTTGGTCTGTTTGGCCACTTAATATTGGTATTTCTCAAGACCCAAAGCTGATCCCTCTGCTCTTGTTACACTTGATTCCGTTTTTATGGCTTTAAATACCACGGCTGGTGTATTAGTTTGCTAGGGCTGCCAAACAAAATACTACAGGTTTAAACAATAGAAATTTATTTCCTTGCAGTTCTGGAGGTTTAAAAACCAAGATCAAGGTGCTGGCAGCGTTGGTTTCTGGTGAGGCCTCTCTCCTTGGCTTACAGATTGTCGCCTTCTCACTGTATCCTCACATGGTCTTTTCTCTGTGCACATGTATCCCTGGTGTCTCTTCCTCTTCTCGTAAGGACAGCAGTCTCATTGGATTAGGGCCTCACTCTTATGATTTCATTTAGCCTTAGTTATATCTTAAAGGCCATGTCTCCAAATACAGCCACATTGGAGGTCAGAGCTTCAACATATGAATTGGGGGTAGGGGGGCAAATCCAGTCCAAAACATGTGGTATTTTCTAAGTAGCTCCCACTAATATTTCTGTCTCCCAGATCTCTCGTCTACCCTCCAAACATATATCCAACTGCTTACCTGATGGTTCCACTGAGGTATCTCATAGATATCCATGACCCAATATGCAGGTCTAAGACAGAATTCTGGATTTCATCCCACACATATTTCAGATCCGTTTCTCTCCATCTTCTCTAC